GCATTAACATGATATATGCATCGTGATGTATGTTAACTTTTGATTAACTTACAGATGTCCCAAGTATGACATTCCCATTATTCACCATTAAGAAATCATAGAATTTTTGCATAAATTATGCAAATTAGGTCATCATTTGCATAATTAGTATCTGTTGATGTTCTGCCTGCCATAGGTTATATACATTACATGTATGAAAGTAGTATAATGTAAAACACTGTAATCATAGAACTTCCTCATTAATTATGCAAATTAAGTCCTCATTTGCATAATTTGTCATTTAATCATGTACATCTCTCTCTCAGCTACCTACACACCAAAAATTATGAAAATATGTTGTTCCTATCTGGACTTATTGGCTTTTAAACATTTCGCCAGAAAGTGCCCTGCAGTTCCAGAACAAGCTGCTAGGGGGACCAAACTCACACCACTTATTCCTGACAGGAAAAGCTATCTGCCACCAAAAAGTCAAGACCATAGCATGTTCAGGACAAAAGATACAAAAACCGGAAGTTCTGCTGCAGTACCAAGGTCATCCGCCAGGAGGCCCATATTTGACCTTGACGTTTGTCTTCCTAAGACTTACCAACATACCAAATATCATCATAATCCATAAAGGCGTTCTGAAGTTATGCTGACCACAAAGTTGCGGAAACACACACAGACATACATACATACATACATACATACAGACAGACGCCGCCAAAAACAATACCTCCATTTTTCATGGAGGTAAAAAGTGTTTTATTAGACATATTCTTGTATAGAATGCTTATTTTAGTACCTACAAGAGAAAATGTGTATCTATTTTCTATATATGCTTTAATTGCTCCAGAAATTTGATACAGTATATCTCTTTGCACCTATCCAGGTATGCTAAACCTGGTTGACCTTGCTGGTAGTGAGCAGGTGAAGAAGTCTGGATCCCAGGGGAAGCAGCTACAGGAGGCTCAGAGCATCAACAAGTCCCTGTCCAACCTCTCATTGGTCATCACCGCCCTCAGCAACAAGGTGGGATGCTAGCAGTACCCTCAACCCTTACCAGACTTAGTAAATATAGATGTTACTAAAGGTCTCATGGGACATCAACTGTGTTATTTCTTGTGACACTGGGGTAGTTTTCACAAGTATGGTTTAAAATCCTGATTTTTCTGTGAAGTTGTATTTTACAGAGACTGCTGAAAACTTCTTGTGCCAGGGAAAGGAAAAAGTAAAAGTAGAAATAGGAGTCATCCCTAGCTTCAAAAATGTCTTCAACCCAATTTGCCCCACTAAATCAGTACTCAAATTACAACATTTGGATTGACAGATATGACCAGATATGAAATGTGACTGTTGACATTGATGAAAAGGCTCTTTATTTGAGTCCCTTTTCTGGTTACAACATGTATCTGAAAGATTTTCCATCTTTCTACAGGAGCCTCACATCCCATACCGGAACTCTAAGCTGACCTACCTCCTGCAGAACTCCCTGGGTGGCAACTCTAAGACGTAAGTTGCTCCTCTGTCCATGGAAATTATTTCATACTTATTTCTATCAATGGTGTATGTGAATTCAGTCCCACTTTGGCACAAGAGCATAACAGAATGTGCTGTGTAACTTTAAGTGTTAGTGAGTCTTTATACATGTAAGGTCATCTGTGCTTTAGTACTGTTGAATTTGGCTAGATGACATGCATGTACAACAGTTTCCTGGGCCACATGCTTGATATTTGTCACCCACTGGTATCTGTGGGCACGTGCATAAGAAAAGCATTGGTATCACTGTGGAGTTTGTCCTCTCATCACTGGTCTTCCTCCCTCTCTTAGACTGATGTTTGTCAATGTATCTCCTCAAGAGGAACACCTGGTAGAGACCGTCAACTCCCTACGGTTTGCCACTACAGTAAGTAGTTGGTTCCTACATCATACAACCAGCGTTCCCAATTTGCAATTAACATATATAGCATGTGTAAGGAAAAAAAAATAGCAATGCATGACCACTGGTACCAAGTGTTGATCACTGTATTTGGGCCATTCTTTTTGTCTATTGTGGTACCTTTTCTTAGCGCAGTCAAACTCATTTTGTTTTTGTTATCAAAAGTTGTTTAATATTGTTTTGCCTCTGGCTTGCAGGTAAATCAATGCAACATCGGAACTGCACAGAAGAAGGTCAAGTAAACAGTGCTGCCCAGCTCCAGCTCCCACGAATAACAGAACTCGATAAAAGAATAGATTTGCTGTTACTTATAGTTAGGGAATATGTACCTCAAATATCTGTACTTGTGTAGAATATTGAATATTTCTTTACGCCCTGTAATATTTACTCTAGAGAAAGCTTGTGTCTGACCATGTCAGACACAAGCATAGGTTCTTTGTGTATTCTGTATACTAATAGTATTCTTTGTGTCTTGAATTTGCCCTCACAACATTATCTGAATAGATTTGATCATTGGCATTACAGTCTGTTATGATGAAGAATGGGCCTACCTTTTGAAAGATTTTTTTGGGGGGAGGATTATATCTCTGACATACTGAACATATGTGTGTATATAGATGTACTTTAACTTGTATTCTTAGATGTCTTCTTACATTGTCATTGAAAAATGAAATTTGAATCAAGTCCAATGTTAGATTACTGTCTCTGATTTTTCTAACTAGTAAGACATAAAGAAATAAGATGACATGTTTTATAGCAAAATGTGTGGGGATCATAAGATATTATACACCCTGTAACACCCATGTCATTACACGTGTACATATAGGTCTTGATAGTCTTGTTTATGTATTTTAGCACTCTAACAAAAAGTTTCCAATGTCTGTCAACATTGTTTGCCTGAATTCCTATTCTCCTTGTTTTATCCCACTTGCTGTCATGTGGGGGTTAGATGTGCTTAGTAGTAGTTTTTTTATTCAGAACTCTTGTTATACAATAAAAGTATGTCATCACCATGTTATATGTGCCTCATTTGTCTGAAAAAGTGCAATTTATGTTCACTATATATTTTATATACAATGTCAAAATCTTGGCACTAAGTACAAGTGTCATGTCTTTTGTTGCCAGGTACTATTTTAGAGCCATGAAAATCTCTTCTTCACATGTTGATTCTAGGAGCTAGGTTTCTATATGTCTCTATTTGTTAAAAAAATAAGCATTATCTGAAAGCTGTGAAACCATTACACTGCTTCAATCATCTGAAGAAGTAGGAGTACCAGTACACCTTGCAATAGTGACACCTTGCGGCCACAACTGGTAATACAGAAGTCTAGTTGGAAAGAGTACTAGTATGTGATCGTGAAATCAGAAGCCCACGTGTACCAAGGAGGTTTACATACTATGACACGTTTCTTTCAACAAAAGTTGTTTGGGTTTGAGTTATTTTCCTAACAGACTTGACATAACTGTTACATAGCTTACCACGGCAAAAGGTACTGAGTTTTACTCGACTAACGTTACATGTAACGTTAGTGTTGTGATACTTGCGATTTATGCCATAAATTGATAAAATCAATGGACTTATATATTTCCTCCTGGTAGAAAAATGTCAGTTCTCAAAATTCAACACAGTCATCCCCGTTTTCTTTTGCACACAACTACATAGATATGTCCTTGGTAACGTCGCCATCCCCAGGTAACCGCTATACTCTCACCTGTCCAGCTGGCCTTTCAGTAGCCCACTGGGAAAGTTTGGGGGTCATGTGATTGGAATCAACCAATCAGCGCGAGTTTACACTGTAGTACGCTTGAGCAAGTGGAGAGAGGTCATGACAGCACAAGCTGCATGTTTGACCAGCGGAGCGGATTTCTAGCCCACAGATTTTAAAAACCGGACTTAGACTAGATGGAACTCCGTCTACAGTGAGACTGGAATTCCCAACACGACGGGTGAGTACGGTTTTACTGTTGTTTGCAGGACACGTGGAGGGAAAGTGTGAGGATGATTTTCGTATGTGTTTGCTGATGAGCTCACTGTGCTGCTGTTTGATGATGTTTGTAAAACTCGTCCTGCGATCGCAACCAAGACGTCTTTGGGGATAAAAATTCTGGCCATTTAGGGAACAACAGGCGTCTTAGAGTGGATGTAGTACTAGTAACAGTAACCGCCAGTTCCGGCGGGATTGTGTCGGTAAGTCAGCGGGAAAATCCGCGGTTAGGCGGCTTAACGCAATCGGTACCCGCCGGGGGACAGGTAACGTTAACCCGAGCCGAACTGAGGGGGAAACTTACGTTAAGGGTTGTTTTGCCGAGATTTGTCGCAGTGTTTGACCAGGTTTGATGTAAAACACGTACTTGAGAAACGTCACCGCACTAGGGCAAATGTTTGTTGAGTAACCAGTCGATAACGTTTAAAGGAAATGCCGCTTCCTTCTGTGGTTCTGCAAATCATAATTTTTTTAGGGTGGAGAGAATTTTTTCTTGAGATTTGTTGCTACACCTGCCCGTCAGATTTTCAGGTATACCCAGGAGCAGTTTTACCAGATTTAGCTAATCATTCTATTGACCGACCAATTGGAAGCAATCAATGAATAGATTAAAAAAAGAAATAATCTTTGAATGTGTCATGATGTCAAATGATATTGCATTGTACATTGTAGGAGTCTCATTGTGAAACAGTGTTTTTGAAAATGTTGCACATGTTATGCATTATATGAAATGCCGTAAAAGTAGAAAGGTGCTGTACGACTTAATATTAAGATATAATTGACTCCTGTTTACAACAAAATTGTGTTACTTAAGTACTTAAGACCAGTCATTTCTAGTTTGCTGCTGAATTGTACCTAATCTATTTTTGGTTTGATCATGGGGGTTTGGTTTGATGTATCACACAGGTGTAATCATGTCAGAAGACACTGTACACCATCAGATGCCGCCCAGTGTGTGAAACAGCTCTCACGACCACAATCATGCTCCGTACGTCAAACCCTCCCGCGGCCAGCGCGAAGGACGCTCCTGGACGTCAGCCTGGCCAGCCGATCAAGTCGTGGACCGAGAACACCGGGAAACTGTCACGGTTTCGCAAGGAGAATGGCATTGTGGGAGCAGGCGGGCACAGATCGCTGTATCGGAGCTTGACAACGCCGGTGAAGCTTTCTGTCGGAGGGGAGTGGGCTCTCCAGGAGTGTGAGGTAGGCTGATTACATAAAATGGGCATGATTGTCAGGGTTTGTTGAGTGTTCTAAATCTTTACCATGTGGAGTTATCAGTTTACTCTCTTCCATTGTTAGCTACTGAAGGAACCAACTTAGTCTGAATAGGGTCTGGCTAACAATTCTGGAGCTTGCCACAATAGCAGAGGAAATGGTTAGTCTGTCCTATTCAGTGAAGTAGGCAACTGTTGGCAGTACAATGTAGGATCCGGAAATAATCTTAATGAGAGCTGAAAGAACAATTACAGTGTAGCAGTTCTGTACCATCCTAAACTTAACCCAGTCACATAGATACTTTTGAGTGGTTTATGACAAACTGACGTCAGTCAAGGAAATGATGTACTAATGAGGCACTAAGCACAGCAGTAAAGTCTTCTGTGTTGGTTTGTTGCCTGTGATTAAATCTTTATAGCCAAACATTGTTGACTTCAACAGTCTGGTAGATGCTACACTCTTTTGAGATGCCTAGAAATTAGTTTGTTGACATAACTGTTGTGTAGTAGTGTATCAGCTGTAGTATATCATTGTTTTTAGTGGGTGTTGGGGGCATACTTGGCTGTTGTCACGTAACCAGGAAGTCGGAACAAAGACCAGGCATTTTTTCAAATATAGGGTATAGAATATTGCATGAGGTGAAAGAGTAATTTTGATATATGTACTCAGGTATTACCATACCTTTCAACTCTTAAGGCTACCTGAGTACCTGACATTCCAGGTAAGAACAGGTGTGACTAACCGTTAGCCAGACATGCATTCTGGGGCTCGTCAGCTCAGTTTACCTCAAAGATTCAATCAAGGAAAGCAGGATGACATCACAGTGGATACTTTTAAGTAAACACTACTACTCCTGTTGACGTACATTGGGTCCTTGTGTGGTTCGATTTTGTCATGGGAGTGTTTGCCTCCCTCGTACAACAGTACAGTATTTAACCAGGGGTACAAACTTTGGAAGACGTCACGTACCAGCTATATTGTCCCAGTGACGGCATCTTGACAGGTGTATTTTGGACCAGTAATTGTTTTCGCCTGCCCTTGTATCTTTGATCTGTGTGGGTTTTTGGCAGGTGTTTTGGCAAGAGCTGAATTCCATATAGCTTGGGACCCTCTGCAGCAGGTGACTGTACTTATTATATAGTTAATAACAGTAATTTTTGTAACCATAGACTCTCAGCAACAGACATAGATTGTAGGAGACCTGAGGGAAGCTACACAGCTTTGGACTATGTTTTAGGAATGAGAAGTTAGTGTACAATTGTTGCTATTGTCACCCGCTAATGCAAATACTGATCAATGTTTCCAGTTATCCAGTTGTTGGTTCATTGTGGGGAAAAGGTTTAATCTATATACATACACACACAATCTATAACTCCTGTTATCCACTTCTGTGTAACTGACATATCCTGAGTTCTTTTGTGAAAGTTAGTTGCATAATCCGTTAGGTCTTTCTTAATGGCTGGTTCGTCGGCTTTTGTTGGAAAGGGTACAGAATCAAGCTGCAAGATTCTGTATGAACAACTATGTAAGAGGTGCTAGTGTCACGGAAATGAAAAGAAACCTACAGTGGACCTCACTTGAAGACAGAAGAAAGATGTCTAGACTATGCATGATGTACAAAATGACTAATAAACTGGTGGATGTCCCAACTACTAAGTACCTAATACCAGCTCAGAAGAGAACAAGAAATAGCCACGCATTCAAGTATCAGAGTTATCAACCAAGGATTGAGGTGTTCAAGAATTCATTCTTTCCTAGAACTATCGCAGAGTGGAACTCACTGTCACCAAGTACAGTAGGGGCACTGTCAATAGATAGCTTTAAACAATGTCTAGAGCTAGAAGTTCAAGGGTTAGGTGTAACAAGTCGATCGGTGTAATATAGCCAGCTGCCGCCGCGCCGCGTGCCTGCGAAGCTGGTGTGTTACGCCGAAAGGCGGTTATACCGGCTATACAGATACAGATACAGATACAGATACCAGATATAAGCCATAAAACCATAGATGACTGAGTTTTGTTCCATCCTGCATCGTTTGTTTGATGTTACTGTCTGTGTTCCTGTTAATAGAACTGACCACCTGGGCAAACTCCCACCTGAAGAGGAAAAAAGTTCCCGTCTGGTCAACGACCTGAGAAAGAGTGTGAGTGATGGCCTCACCCTGGTCAACCTGATTGAGTGCCTCAGTAAGTAGCCTCAGAATTCCACCTTTTTGTTCTCCTGTTTGTGAAGAGTACAAAAACATACTAACAAATGGCCAGGTACTTTTGTTTAGCTGCTAGCCTCAGTTGGCTGTAATCAGGGCCAGGTCACAACCTTTCTATTCCACCTCCACTGGCCCCACTTCATAATGGCTGCCCTAATTATTCACTTAGGGGGCCATAATTCTTTTGATGGACCCTAGTGTGGTGTCAACAAAGAATTGAATAGCAAAGGTAAGGAGGTGTATATACCTAATAGTCTATAAAAACCAAGGGAAGTGGCCTTAACAAACATGGCATTGTGTACACTGGTCCATATTCCCTGTGGCCACAGCCCAGTCTGTCTACTCTGTTTTAGTGTACCCATAACTTATGGCACTGTAGCACTAAAAGCCCCACATTCATATTCATATTGGATACCCAGCAAGCTAGAGTGCTAAAGGTTACAGGTAATTGAGTGAATCATTTGTGTGACATACCAGTGATACGTATGAACTTTGGTATCTACATTGCCATTAATACTGATAAAATAGGTAAGTGTTCAGTCACCAGCCCTTTATTCAAGATGCACTATACAAAGCAGGAAACCTCTGCAGAAGTTTTACCTACACGTGTCACTGGTTATGATGAATAATATTTATAAATAATAGTACATGTCTACTACTTAAAACAAAGAGTGACGGATCCATCATTGCAGTTATGACAGAATCTCAGTCAATTATTTTCCACGTCAACTATGTTATGAGCGTGTCCATTACATGTCCATTACTTATGGCATACTGAACCAGATCTGTCTTGTGATCTTTGCTTTTGAAGATAAGTAGATATTTTATGGCCACACTGTAAATAATTTAAATAGGAAATGTCCACAAATAGATTTCATAATTGAACAACAATATTAAAGGTCTTACAATTATAACATTATGATAAATGATCATCATATTTCTCTCATATAACTTTAACAAGTACATGATTATTCTATTGTTGCAGCCACATAATTTTTGCAGGTACATGTACTGTCATGTACATGTATTAGTAACCATCCTCACAATGGTTGCTAGTACCAGCATGTGTGTGTGTAATTTCCTCCTGCTCTAAAACAAACATGTAGCCAGGTGTGACCTTACTCTCACCTGTAATGTCACTACTATTCTACCATTTACATCCAACATGAACACAGTGTCAACATATCAGTAAATTATTAAAGTTATTAGTGATTAGGGATCGAGACCTCCATACTAACACTGCAGTTTGTTACTGTAAAGATATGCAGGCTTGTGCAATTCATGTACGTGCGGTAATCCCTGTCCATATAGGCTAAGAACAATAGAAAGGTAACAGTTACACAACAAATAACATCAAATAAAGCCCATTAAATACAAAGTTATGAAAAACTTTATCAAACAGTCTCGGCATTCAATATGCTAGTAACCCTTTACTCAGTTTTGTATTAAAATTTGATAAAGCACCTTTGACAGTAATGCCTGACAAGGGTAGTGTGACAGGTCAGTTGTATGAAAATCATTCATTTTGAATGACTAATAATTTTTCTCCATTAGGTAAACCAGGCTTGCACAAGGCTGATTTATGACTAGGGCCCCCAAAATCAATCTGTTATTTGTCACTCTTAAGTGCCCTGTTAATCCCTGGGGCAGCCTGCCTGGCCTAGTCTGGCATTTTTGTGTCAGTAAGTGCAGATCACCTGTATGTAGTACTAGTACTTCATCTAACAGTCCAATTTTGTCTGGGTTGGGGGAATATCGATAAATGATATATTACTTATTCGAGCATTACTGGTATTTCTCCAGGCCAACTGTCCCTGATGTTACTTTGAGGTTTGTATAGAGTGTTGTCTGCTCAGCTTCAAGAGTGTTTCCCCAAATAAAGGAATAGCTATTCATTTTGTCAAAGGCAGTGAAAAAATTTGGTATATATGCAAAACATGTCAAATTAGATGACTCATGAGGTTGACATCAAGGAGTGAAGAGAAAACAAAACACAATAACTCGCTTCGTATGGTATCTGTCTTTCATAAGAAAAGTACAATTCATTTTTTATTTGTAATAGAATGTTGCATTCACCAATTTAGATACATTTGCTCTCACTGTATAGAATTAAGTTGGACTGAGCCAGGATGATGTTTAACATACTTCATTGAAAGAAAGAAATGTGGGTATCTGTCAGATATTGTTAAACCCACTTTTAATCTCTTGATGAGAAGGCCTAATTGTTAGCTGTGTGGTCTTGTGGGAGTTCTGACAATAAACTGGTGTTTCCCATCCTAAACTATGAAAACTGCATTTGTACATACACATGTATAGTGTGTTTTTAGATTTTTTTTTCAAAATGTAAATTTTATCTTCCTGTTGTAAGTGATGAATCTGAGTCATTTTGGGGAGGGGATTCTTAGGTTTATTGAAGCAAAAATTGTTACAACATCAAAACTGCACATGGCACTACTAGTATTTGATAAGCTTTGTATAGTCCTGTCTCAGGTCACAGCAGCCCTGAGTGACAGATGTTTTCTTACTGGAGTCACCTGAACCCTGTTCAGATGTAAGGTGACCACAGGTGTGAAATTGTGGCTCACAGCAGCAGAGGCCGTGTCTAAACGGAATCACCCAAGGCGGTTTACATGTGGTTTACCCCGAAGCCGGTTTCAAGTGGCTCCATCTGAACGCTCCGAAATCACATTGAAATCACATTGAAAGCGCCTCGATCCCAAACCACTTCTAGAGGTGGTTTCGAATCGGTTTCCCCGCATCGTGATTTGCGTCTGAACGCAATGTGATTTCAATGCGACTTCGCCTGGTCATGGATTACGGAGTGATATTTCTTTTTTATATGCAATACCAACTTTTACGTGGCAGCAACTTAAAGAGCAGTAATGGTCAAATAATGTGTCCGTTCTAGGGCGAGCTTCACCGCCTCTGGCGGGACCACGTCGGCATTCGGCCGAAATACGCTGGGAGGGGGCATCAGCAAGCAGGTCGTTGACCTCTGACATTAATAACACGCCGCCTTGCGTGTTATCATCAAACAGCAATAAATGTAGCTCAAGCGCATTATGTTCGGACACGGTTTCGCAGGTGTGTGTGGCACGTGGACCAGATGTGAGGAATGTGAGTTACCCGAATCGCGGTTTGGGTGATTCCGTATAGACACGGCCAGAGTCAGGGGCAGGACCAGCTGGTGTGTGTAGATATTACCTCTGCCAGGGCGGTTATACATTTATTATACATGTACCAGCATTGGTTTATTTCTTAATATGATGACAAAACCTCATCAATGGACTTTTAGGGAGAAATATTTACATTTATGTGAAGAGTCTGAATGGACAGACGAAAGCAAATCATCATCATTCGTTTGATACTGTCCTGTGAAGTAGGCTGCCTACTTGGAATTTTAAATATTCATACTGAATCTACCTCAATTACTCAGTAGTTGCTGACTATGAGGTATGCCAAGTAGATTACCGAGTACTATCAGTAACAAATCAGAGAACCTTTGTCTTTTGATGTTTTCTGGCCTAACTTAACTTACCAAGAGAATATTTAAGATCCCAGGTATGTATTAGAAGGCAAGGCATGAGCGCTGCGTGAGGCATGGTGCCACGGCCGTGCTATAACATAATGGGTGTTGTTTGTTGCAGAATTGCTCCTCGCCACGACATGCATTACCCACAACAGCTCTTCCGTGACCCAGGCCAAACCATCAGCCTTGTTCTCTTGTTTTTCATACAAACAGTCATACAAAACTTGTTGTGGGAACTAAGCTTGCTAAAACACTTAGCAATTGTTGCCAATAACAAGGGCAGATGAAGGGATGTCTCTTAGTACATTATATATTTATGGTGATGTGGTTATCCTTTCTAACTCAACTACATACTAGTCTAAATTCTAGTAATATTATTATAAGGAAACAGACTAAAACAAATTATAACTGAGTTAAAGTACATGTAACCAAATCTTGTAAATCTTCTATGTGGTGCCTTTACCTTAATTGGAAATGTCCCTCAAGTTCTTGATTCTATTAGCAAAAGCTGTTAACTTTATCTGTTTAGGAACCACTAAATTCTTTTCCCAACTGAGTCAACAAAGAAAAGCTGCCATGTATATACTGATGTGCCCCATTTCAGTGAACACACAAGTAGGACTCCTCAAGGGTAAGACATTCTTAACCCTGGTGGCAGATATACTGATGTACATGTATACTGCACTCAGGTTACACTGAAAGGCCTGACATTTTCTCAGCAACTCTTGAGAGAACTGTGGTAATCCTGTTCTCTGTCTGTTAGTGATGGATTGTACTTGAGGTGAAGGTATGCTATACGTTATGACCACTTGTCAACTGGTCCTTTCTCTGAATAGTTAATTGGTCACATTAGAAGGGGACTAAATTAGAATGCCTGCTGGTACTACCGGTAAGCACATTAACGCTTTGTCCTGTTGGCTATTGTAGTTTGCAGGGTGTGCAGGTGTTCAGGTTTTATAGTAACACTCAAGGAATTCCTCTTGTATAGGTAAGCAAATTAGCAGCCAGCTATAAATAGTTAACACATTTCTACAGTAACACATTAAGTGTAGGGGAATAGGCTTTCTGTAAGGCTTATTGTCCTTGCTGTCAGGCTAGCAGGAATTAACATCATCCACTCAAGGTCTGCATGTAAGTTATACAGTAGATGCAGAACTCAGCTTCTGTCCTTTGTTAACTGTTTGTGCCTCCCAAGCACATCTTAGTGTTACTGCATTCCCGTTGTTAGAATAATTTTGAAGACTGCTGTTCATGTAGTGTTGAACTGGTTTGAAAAAATTGTGTGGTCTTTGTTACTTAAAAGGCACTTTTGGCCAAATCTTGCACATCTACCGTATGATAGTATGAAGCTGAATAGTCGGTCTGTGGGAGAGAAAATATTGCGAAGTTCTCACATATAAATCAAAGTCAAGTATCATATAGGAGTCCTTAATTGATGTCACTTTTATTTT